ACAGAAAAATCAGTTGCATTTCTAGTTACTAAAATTTAAAAGACAGTACCTCTTAATTGCTCCACAAAAATGAATTACCTGGGAACAAATAAAGTGAAAACAGTCCACTTAGAAAGTGGGCAGGAGACATCAATAGACATTTCACTGAAGAAGGTATTTGGATGGCAAAGAGGCACATGAGACGTTGTTCGGCATGTTAGCCCGTAGGGAAAGCAGACTACAGCCACAGCGGTCTGCCACCACATGTATGTTAGAATAGCCAGAATTGAAAATGGTGTCAATAGCAAATCTGGTGTGGCATCGGTGCACACATCAACCTCATACATGTTGGTGGCAACATGAAATGTTTGTAGCCACTCTAGAAAATATCTAGTTCAGCAGTTTCTTAAAAACCTACGCGTGCACCTGCTGTACGGTCCAACAGTCACACTCCAGTGTATTTGTCCCAGAGAAATGAACTTACGTTCATACAAAAAACTGTATGTGAATATTCATAGCAGCTGTATTTGTAATGGCACAAGTTGGAAACCACCAGATGTTTAAATACATGACTCCTTAAACCAGCTGGTGCGTGCATACCATGGATGTGGACTCGACCATCAAAGTGTAGGGCTTGTTGAGACACAGCAACTTGAGTGGATCTCTGTGGGGTTACACAATCCCACTGGGCCTCATGTCTGCTGTTCTGTGTACCTGACATTCAATGACACACTTACAAAGACAGAAGCTGACTGTGGGCCACCAGGGCTCAGCGCCAGGGTCGGGTGCTGACAGCTGAGGTGCAGCGTGAGGGAGGTCTTGACTGTGGTAAGTCCATTCTGCACCTCTATGGTGGCGGTTACCCAGGTTGTACTGTGCTAGGATTGCATAGAGCGCACACATGCACATGGGGAAGGCCTGCACACGCACTCCCATCATTCCCTGCCTTGGTGCTGTGTGTTAAAGAGTCATGATTGGGGTAATGGGGTCAGGCCTGTGAGACCCACTGTACTATCCTTGCAACTTCCTAAGACTCTGCATCACTTATAAGTAAAAAGAAGGAAACCAAAAACCAGCCAAATGCTGCCTATCAGACACACACCTGAGATTGGAGGACCCCAAGATAGCGGAGCTACAAAGACAGGAAAACCTGTGCCATGCAATTCCTGGCCAGAGAAACCGGTGGGCTGGGTCAGGGGAGGGTTTCAGGAAGGAGTCAGCACCAGAGGAAAAGGGGGCATGACATGATGGTCAGACCACAAAGATCATATCACAAATCTCTAAATCTAAATTAGCTCACACAGCTTCAAAAATATGTAAAATGAGAATTGACAGAACTGAGAAGAGAAATAGACACATCCACAGACCACAGGGAGGAATGCAAGCATAAGGCCCAGTGTGCTGCAGGCAAAGGGCCAGTGTGTACAGTCCTGCCAACTAAGAATGGTTTTTCACACTTACTTTAAAAGAAGAAGAATGTATAACAGAGCCTGTGCAGGGCCAGCCAAACCTGAGCTGTTTACTCTGGGCCCTTTGCAGAGAAGGCTTCTTGAGTCCTGTGTTAACACATCTCCTTAAGAGATGATAGAACAAGGAGGTGGAGGATTGTTCAGGATTAGAGTATTTGAACACAGTTGACAGACTTAACCTGATCGGCATATAGCTGCAGTACCAGAAAGGTCCTGGACAGAATACACATGGAGAATGTACTGAAATTGACTATACAATGGTCATAAAGCCTCAGGAAATTTCAAGCTATGAAAATCAGCATCTGTTTTCTAATGTAAGTGGAATGAACTAGAAATCAGTAATAACAAAAAAATTAAAACTCCCAATTACTTGAAAATTAAATAGCATATTTCTAAATACTCACGGATGAAAGGAGAAATCACAGTGGACATTATAGAACATTTTGAATGACAGCAAAACCACGTATCAGAATTTGTAGGATGAAGCTAAAAACTGTTCTTAGTAGGAAATGTATAACATTAAATGAATATGTTTGAAAAGAGGCAGAGAGTCAGTGAGCTAAATAGCTGTCTCTCTATATATTAGAAAAGAACAAATTGAACCCAAAGAGTGTAGTAGGAAAAAGGTAATAAAGAGCAGTAGTTAATGAAATAGAAATAAAAGTATGGTAGAGAAAAGTTTTTAAAAATCTGATTCTTTGCAAAGATGAATAAATTGATAAACCTTTAACAAAATTGATCAAGAAAAAGAAAACACAAGTTGCCAACTTAAGACATGAAGATTGGGGCAGCCCTGTGGGCAGTGTGGACATTTAGTAGGTGCTGTGAACAGTGCTAGACCAATACATCTGACAGCTGACGTAGAATGAAAATTTTTTAAAAATACAGCCTAATGAGACTAGAATGAAAAGAAATTGAAAATCTGAATGGTTCTGTGTCTTCTGAAGGCATTGAATCTGAAATGAACAGCCTTTCCCAGAAGAAAACCTCAAGGCCAGATGGCTCCTGGTAAACTTTCCTAAGCATCCAGGGGAGGAGCAGCATCAAGGTCATGCTAATCCGGCTTGTTTCCAACCCTGATGCCAAACCTAACAAACACGTGGCAAGAGATGAAAAGCATAGGTCATTGCTGTTACACAGACATTCAAAACTTGCAGACAAAATATTAATAAATTGAATCCAGCAGTGTATAAAACTAATAATATGTGGTGGGCAGGGATTTATTTTGGAATAAAAAATTGATTTAACATTTGGAAACCAGTGTGATCCACTTAATTAATACAATATCTGAGGAGGAGCACAGTGTTTTGTTAAGGGATGCAAGGAGAAACATGTGTTCATGGTAAACTCTCAGCCAGCTAGGTAGGAGGGGCTGCCTTTGTTGAACAGTGTGTACAAAATGTACAGAAATCATACTTGTGAAACATTGCAAGCTTTTCTTCGGTTGTGGGAGTGCATCAGGGTTGCCTTCTTTCTCACTTCTGGTGAACTAGAGTCTCGGCAGGAGAAAGGGCAGAGGAGCACCGAGGCACAGGGTTGAAAGAAACGAAGATCCGTCCTTGTTGACAGGTGGTAGGATTGTGTGCATGGAAAACCCAAACCCAGGGCAACCATTAGAATTAAAAAGGAAAGCCAGCAGGTGCCAGATACAGTCAGCATACACAACCTGAGTGTGTTCTATAAGACAATAACAAGAAGCAACAACCCCCACTTTCTTAAGTTTATGTTATTAGCAAAGAAAAAATATGAGATAGTTAGGGAAAAGTTCTGCCAGGATGGAGGGTCTGTGCTGGCACTGACCAGCTCACCGGCCACGCAGCTGCGTGTGTCCCCTGAGCAGGTGCAGTGTGACTTGTGCATCTGAGAAACTATTTCATTTTACTTAATTTAGAATCAGATGTCACACATGGTTTCTGGCTCCTGACTCAGACAGTGCAGTTCTAGAGTGGCTGCTACGTGCACAGCTGCAGGAGCACTAGGGCTGGAGGCATTTAAAGAGCAGGAGGGTACCTGCTCACAGACCATGCGGTAAGGAACATGGAGAGGAGCAGCCAGCTAGCAGACGCCTCACCTGCCAAGGAAAGGCAGTGCTGTGATGAGCTTTTAATTAATCAGAATCACCTCAGGGCATGGACCTGTTACGTGGCAGCTTTTTCTAAGGACTGAGTGGTTTTTAGAACAATTTAAAAAGTAGTGCCATACAGCAAACACACTTGCATTAAACCTTACATTAACTCAGGTGATCCCAGTTGGTAAGTTTCTTTTAAAAGTGGAATGAAACCTTACTTATAAAGGGGACAGCATGTCCATCACTTTGTTCGTGATTTATTTCTGTTCTATGAAATTAAAAATAGCCACTCTTTAATTGAGCAGAGAACATAAACCAGGTGCCAACGGGTTCAGTTGTTTACCTCGTGGACAGAATCACAGACCCTTGCGGAGGGACCAGGCAGCTCACCTGCGTGCGCCAGCACAGGCACCTGGGGGCTCTGAGGTTCTCACCAGACACCCGAGTCCCCTGAGGAGCACATTGGTGTGTTTCTCCAGCCAAGAACAGTATTAATGTGTGACATCAAGGTACATTTGACCACAAAAAGGAGTATTTCATATTGGTATGACTTTGCTAATTGTAAAGATTATAATAAGCCCATCAGCCTCTGAGATAATAAGCCATTTTATTCTTAAGTGATAAATGCTCAACTACTGTCTTGCCAATGGGTTTCAGCCCTGGGCAAATTCACTATGGGTTCAGTGTAACCAAAGAAATGACAGTAGAACATTCTTGGGGTGAAAGGGTTACACCCAACTTTATTTCCAGGTGGCAGATCAGTCACTAGAATCCTGTTCACTCAGAGCGAGTCTGCAGGCGGCAAGCCAGTCTCTGCCCCTGGGCCTCTCTGCCCGCACAGCCATCCTCTGGGCCTCTGTCCTCGGTGCTGCCACCGCTCCAGCCTCGGCTCTGCTCTCCTGCAGCCTTGCAGCCATGCTACCATGTCGTCCAGAGCACTGGGCAGAGCTCTTTATATAGAGTCAGTAGTAACATATTGCCCACACATACGTAGTGAGCTAGCCAACCAGGGCCAGGTGAGAATCCTGGCCACAGGAACTTTCATTTTATCCACAACTACAATGATATTTTTAATAATTTATACTCATAATTAGAGTGTGACTTTTTAAAATACTGTGAACTCATCAGTATCTAGAATGATGATGCTCTCTCGGCTTCTTTCTCGAGGAGGGTGCCCACGGCAAATCGCCCTGCAGCGTCTTCCCGGTGGACCTCAGCACCAACGCTCTGTGGTCCTGGGGGTGTCTGCGTGCAGTGGGCCTGGGCAGAGTCTGAGCTCAGGTGGGCGGGTGGAAGGAGAGGCCCCACCCCTGCTCCCCATGAAGGCCTGTCTGCAGGGCCCCCATCCAGCAAGGTCCACTTGAGGGCTGGCAGTGTGCCAAGCTTTCACCTGTGTCTCTGTGTTGAGCAGGGTTGCTGGGCAGCTGAGCTCAGTCATGTGCAGCTCCTTCTTCACATCCTCTCTGTGTGTCTGGCCTCCACAGCTTGATCACATCGACCCCAGGGCTGTGCAGCTCGGCGCCCTCCTGGTGCGTGGCCTCACCACTCTGGTGCTGGTCAACAGCGCGTGCGGCTTCCCCTGGAGGACAGGCGAGTTCATGCCTTGGAACATATTCGACGGGAAGCTCTTCCATCAAAAGTACCTTCAGTCCGAGAGGGGATACGCCACGGAGGCTCTTGTAGAGCAAAACGTGAGTCCGTGGTTTCTTCACACCCAGATGTGGGGGTAGCAGGCGTGCTGTCAGTGCCACTTGCCTGCAGACATGGGGGGGACAGTGCCCTCTGTCCAAAGGGTCGTGTCCTTTAGAAAATGGACATGCTGAGCAGAGGTACCGCTTTGGAGCACATCGCACCCGTTCCCAGAGGTCCTGGCAAGGCTGCTGGGCACACTATTCCAGTTGCTGCTCTCCTGGTAAAGGGATCCAGGAGCTGAAATGTGACTGGGGGCGTATGGCCACAGGGTCACATGCCCGTGGCTTCTGCCAAATACTTCCCCAGGCGGGAGTCCCCAGGACCTCAGCTGAGGGAGGATGGGTCACATCCCACCGACCCTCATGTTTAATTTTGAACTACCTTCACTCTTGCGATCGAAGGTTCCTTCTGCAGGCATCACTCATAAATTTCAGTTTATCTATCCGGGAGGAATAGTGACAATTGATTACTGGAGAGTGCTCCCCAAAGGCTGTTGGTTTAGCTGGGGATGCTGGCTACTATTCTGACTTTATAAGTATGACGGCTACGTGATTCCTGGAAGATATCCAAGGAAGGCCTCAGGCAGGCTCTGTAGAATGTGTTTTAACCCCACAGGTGTGTGCAAGGCTCTGCATCCGATGGGAGAGCTCGCTGGCCTGTCACTGTTGAGTGTGCAATGCTTCACTTCAGAGGGAAAACATCTGGTGAAGTGTGCCATCCTGTGTCACACACGCACCCTTAATCCAGGGCATCATTGGAATTTAAGTTCAGAATTTAGAAGCAGCCAAAATTACGTACAGACAGCAGAGGCAGAGTAATGCAGAAAAATGTCCCTCAGACTGGGCTTGTTACTCTAAGACTGCGGAGAGGAACAAGGGGCCTGCCTGCCTCACAGCCCAGCCTGAAAGTCACTCGCAGACCATACTTCTGTATCGAATGTCTTGACCGAGCACAAAACGATTATAGGCCCACTCTTCCCGTTTGGACACAGGCTGAGGCACATGGTGTGGGACAGCAGGAAGAACAGAGGAGGAGGGAAGGGGTGGGTCCTCCGCCTGCCCCTGGCCCAGGAGGCCCTGCACTTTCTGCTTCATGTCTTCTCCCTGAGAGTGAGGTCACGGCATGTGTGACAGGCATGGGCGTTGTGGGTGGCGGAGCTGGGGATTTGGCGAGGCCGTCTGACCTCAGGCAGGGAGGCGTAGCCACCGCACCCCTGGTATGCAGGAGGGTGCTGAGCTCCTGCGCTGAGGGGGACTTGCTGCTGCAGCCTCACACCAGTGCACAGCTGGGCCTGCGGACCTGCCTGTCTGACTGCTCTGCACTGTCTGGTCTTTTTGCAGAGGGCACGGCTCGCCACATTCCACAGCCTGGAGTCGGTTGTGTGCAAGGCCTGCATGAAGGAGAACAGGCGCGTGGTCAGCAGGCAGCACTGGCATTCACGTCACTCAGGTCAGCCTCCTTGGGGGAAAGAATGCCAGGAACAGGCTAATGGAATTGGGAGGAAAGCAAGATGAAAGCAGCTGGGGGCTGGCCCCATTCAGGAAGGATCTCAGAGGCAGTGTTGCTAGTGGCATGATTGAGGCCCTTGGGGCCCCCTCCTCCAAGAGTGCCATGTTGCTTGGGCAATGTCTGCATCTCACAGAAGTTATGGTTTATCTTTTCTGATAATGAAAGGTTATTAGAAAAATTCATAATGTAATTCAAACAATTAAAAAGAAAATACAAATAACTTAATTCTGTCACCTAAAGATAACCAGTGTTGACATATAATGCTTTTCTGTCTACTCTCCTGCACTTTTATCTGACTAATTACACTCGGCAATCCTGGGTCCTACTTTTCCACGAAGATCTGGACTAAGAAGCAGCTGTAATCACGGAGAGACTCCCCTTTTTCCCCAGTGGCTGCAGGACCCCTGTCCTGACCACCTTATAGTTCTCTTACTTCGAGCTCTGAAGTTGCTTGTTTTTTATCATTATGCATAATGCTTTTATGTGCATCGTTTCCTTAAAATACACTGCCATCGTTTTCAGAATTACTGGTCAAGATGTAGTTGACATTTAGGTAAATGTCACCAACTTGTTTCTCAAAGCCTCCTACGACCTCGTACTCTCACCTGCATGCAGTGAGGGAGAGTTTCTGTCTCCTGGCACCCTTGGCATCACCTAAAAGTTTGTTTTCTTAACTAATTTAGTAGATGAAAAAGTGTATCTCACTGAATGGATACTTCTTTGTTTAGCAGTAAGGCTGCACATCTTACTAATTAGCTTTCTTTGTTAATGAATTTATTTTAGTTATTTCACATCCTTGTTTGGTTAGCCTTGTACCTGTGACAATAACAGCCCCATTATTTTTCTTGATGGACGAGATAACTCACCCCACCTTCCTGTCTGCCAGACTGTCTTCATTCTGCTTGGCATCAGCCTTGCAAATTTCATTCTGAGAGGCTTTGTGTCACAAAGTCAGTACACCACTGGGACGTGCCACACCCCATCAGGTGCCACATGTGGGATTTGACCAAAGGAGAGCAGGGTAGCAGAGGGGCCTCTGGCAGGAGCCCCCAGGCCACACAGTCCCTCCTTGCTCTGTCCTTCCCTCCACCCTTTAGCTTTCCCCTAGCTGTACACAGGTGGAATCCCAAAGTTTATTCCTTGCAAAATAAGTATGCAGCACTCTTCCTACATCGCCTGTTCCCTGAGCAGTTGTCAGCCTGTCCCTCTAGCCACATGCCCTGTCAGTGCAGCACCAGGGCTCCCATCCCTAGCAAGGTGGCATGGTGTCGTGGATGGCCTGAAGCACGCCGTTATAAGCACTCCACTGTCCCTAGGATTTGAGGGCCTCATCTTGCTCTGCTCTTCGGGGGGTAGGCCTGAGGCTTAGGAGGTCTGCACATGGTCAAGTTTTGTTTTAAAGCCCGAAGAATGACCCGGTGGGCCTGCATTTGTGTTTGCGGGGCTGTGCAGCCACTCGCACTCCACGTGGGAAGCCGTGTTTGGTTATTTTCTAATGATGCATGTGCATACAATGGGCACAATTATCAGTCTTGCCCCATTATTCCAGGTTCATGAGGGAAACTGTTTCAACAGAAATGATGTCCCAGTTTATATGATTTTGAAACTGTTCCTGTTTTTGTCCTCAAAGTAATCATTTTCCTCCCAAATACAACTTGAGATTCTATGGGTCACTCCCCTCATTTTGCAGAAGGAAAATGGTTGATACCATGTGAGTCGCCCAATGCTGAGCAGGTTTGGTAGCCCTGGGCTAGAGCCCCAGCCCTGTGCCCTAGTGCTCCGAGTCACACTCTTCCCGTGACTCCACCTGGAGAAGGGCTGAAGGGATGTGGCCAGGGTCTAGTCCTTGGCCTCTGGCAGCCACACAGGCCACCCAGCCAGGCTGCTGGAAGCTGACCACTCCCTGTGCTCTTACACCTGCACCAGGCTGACCGCTATGGACCCCAGCTGCCCAGAGCCTGGGCCACTTGCCCTCTGTCACTCACCTGTAGCCAGGAGGAGAGCCCAGCAGCACCTCTGTGCCCCAAGTTCCAGCCCAGCGGGCAGCTGAGGGGAGAACACAGGTGTGTGATGGCAAGTGCAGTTTGGGCTTGACCTGTACTCCAGGTGGTGACTCAGGAAGGGAAGCTGTCCCTGGTGTGAGGACCGTGGGAGTTCTCGGGCAGAAAGTGGTGCTGGACAAGGTGCAGTGCAGTTTTAGTGGAAGGAGAGAGCTCCAGCTGCAGTAGGAAGGCTCCCTTGTGTCTCCGAAAGACAACTGGAGCTTAGATTTGAGCAAGTCTAATGGGAAAAGGAAACGCAGGGAAGGGGCCTGACCTGGGAGGCCAGAAAGTCTTGACTTTTTATCCACAGAAAATTGGGGAGCTTTTTAAGGTTTTGATCTTACGTCATCAGAAATACGCTTCTGGGAAAATGACTCTGCCAGTATAGGGAGGTGGAAGTGAGGTAGGTTGGAGGCCTTGCCCAGGCACCAGATGAGGCTGGCCACAGTGCAGTGGCTGTCCCTGGCAGGCGGTGTGGGAGTGGCCAGGTAAGGCACGTGCATGCTCTCCTGCTCACAGCAGGCCTCGTGGTCTCCCCGCTGTACCTTGGCCCTGTGTATTACGGGCAGGGAGGAGGGCATACAGGGTGCAGGGCTGCAGGGCTGGGCCCACCATGCAGACCCTGTGTCTGGAGTGCCAGTGCATACCTGTGGCATGGTGCCCAGGCAATCTATGGAGCATTTTGAAATAACGAGATGTTTTTAAAAACCACACTTAAATATGGGCTTAGGTAGACTTTCTAGTGTTAAATTGTAGTAGAAACAAATGGTAGAAGCTGTCAGGGTTTAGGAACTTAGAAGAGGAAATTTTATAGTAAAAATCAGGTGTTGACTAGGTGTGCTCGGCACTGGGAGGGACAACTTCTTGGCCTGGCTTACGAGTCCCAGGACCGTTGCTCACCCAGAGCTCTGAGTGCTGCCTCGGCACTTCGCCACTAGCCTGCTGGGGGCCACCGTATGTGCCCTGGTGTCCAGCTCCACCGCCCTAGGGCAGCAGCTGCCATCAGAGCAGACTGGAGGGCCTGCTCTGAGCACCTTGGCCAGTGTCCCTCTGCCTGCCCCTTTGTCACCACGCAGACTCCCAGGAGCATGCATGTGATGCAGACCTCAGCTCCCACCACCTACCCCCTCTGTGGCACTCTGGCCCCAACTGAGTTTTTCATGGGTTCCCTGTGGATTTAAGGAAGCCAGAAGCTTGAAAACTGCCAACCCACTGACACTTTGCTATACTCTTTTAACATAATGTGTCATGCTAACATGCAATCATGTGTCCCCACAGGGAGATGGGGACGACAGGGATCCAGCTCCTATAGGACGAGCTTGGGGTACAGCCGATCTGGCCAAGGACAGCACTGGAGAGACCAGGGGCCAGGTAAGAGGCCTGTGGTGGCTGCTCAAGCGCTTCTGTAGTGTGGCACTTCCGCTTGAGGCCCCTGTGCATCCCTTTGGACATAGGTGGTGTATTTCCAAGTCAGTAGCAGACGAGCTTGCCGATAGGTGTGATGTCATTGCCTCGCCAAGTAGAGGCAGGTAGTTTCCACATGGGGTGCTGGTCTCTCTCTACTCCTTGCTACTTGATATACTTTCTGTCAATTCATTCATCTGTTCAAGATCCAAATGTTTGTAATTTACTCAGAAAAGGCTTTTGTAGCAGTTACATGCACACCTCCTTCTAATAAAAAAATAGTACAAAAAGTAGCATTCTACCAAAAGTAGCATTTTAATGTTTTCTGTGATGTGGCTTATGTATGTAAGAGCCTTGCAGTGTGATCTGGGAATTACATGAATCCCTTCCTTTTATGTGTATGATACAGAAATTTGGTTTTATTGCATAAAGCTGAATTTAGTACATAGTAATTACACCTTAAACACACAGAAAACCTCACATCCGTGTTTAAGCTCAAATTCCTTATAGTTTTGAGAGCCGAACTGGATAGACTTTTAAATTACCTAGTTTTATCCTTCCAAATATAAACACACCTTAAATTGTTTTTTTTTTTTACTTTTGCAATCTCTGAAATGTATAGAGATTTCACAAATTGCTTAAATTATTGCCTAAAAGCACAGCAAGTCTTTGTCATTCCCCAAACTGGCACTCCTGGGTTTGCCCCTCCAGGCAGCCATGGCAGGTTGCCTTGTGATGTGGCCAATGGGCATCTGAGTCAAGACAGCATGTGGCCTGGTGAAGGGCTGAGTACTTTCCTCTTGTTCTGGTAGAATCTGTATATTTAGCAGATGTTGGGAGTGTCCCATATAGTTCCATGTAGACCAAGGTTTGTGATTACTGTGTCGGCAGTGCCTACACATGTGCAGATTTACAGTTGCTCCAGACGATTCTTTGAACCAGCTTGACCTGCAGCCTCTGCCTCGCAGACAGTGCTACCCGCCGTCGTCTGGAGCTGCTGGACATGCTTAGTGATATTCCTCCCTTGCAGTCAGTCTAGTCTGAGCATGAGGGTTGTTTCCACTTCATTGCTGGCTAAATTGTCTGAGGATTTATGCCACAGTGGGCTGACAGCAAACACCCCCTTAGCACTACTTCGGGAGAATCAGAATGCAGCCCCAGCCCAGGAAGGTGGGCAAGGTGAGGGGAAGCTATGGCTTGACCCAGTGGGCCTCTGGGGTCCTCCCTCCTCAAACCTGCTGTATGCTTCTACATGAGGAGCAGGCGGCCCCATCGGGACCCCAGCCCTTCCCTTCCCTGCTATCAAGGTCTTCCGTGTGGCTTGCTGCCCACCCCTTGGGCTTGGACTCGTCCCCTTTCTCCCCACAGGGCCAGGGAGTTGGGAGAGGCAAAATGACCTGGTCAGATTGGTGTTTGTGGGCTGAGGTCAGGCCGGGCTTGGGTGGGAGGGGCCATGGCCATGCAGGTAGAGGAGCACACTCACCTGGGGCCTGTATCATCACACCTGCGATGGGCAAATCGCTAACATGCCTGCCTAGCGCTTCCTGGGCACCTGTCAACGGGCCGTGTGGCCCAGCCACCCCAGCTTTGCTCCTTGGCCTCGTCATGGACCTCGGCCTCCGTAGTCTCTGCCCTCCCAGCTCTCTGGGTCTTTGGTTCTGCTTTTCCCTGGTGGAACAGTACTGCTGTGGGTGGGCAGGAGGACATGCCATTGAGAACATGCTGGACCTCACAGCCAGGGTGGAGGTGGGGGTGGTTGGACCTGGAGGTCCTTGAAGTTGAAGCCTCTTTGGGATAAGCCTTGTACGCTTTTTTTTTTTTCATTTTCTGCAGAGGCAGGCCACTCAGGTGGGTTCAGACAGGCAGACGCCATATTGCATCCCATTGCGTCGCTTACCAGTGACCAGACCTAGCGAACCCCAGACCCCCCAGGTCTGCCTGTTGTAAACTCTGCACAGAATCAGTTTCTCCCTCCAGGGGCAGGGCATTCCCTTACTGCCCACATGACCACTTTCAACTTCAAGAAATCTCTGGGACTCTAAGGAATGTTTGTCACATGGGTCCCAAGCCCTAGAGAAGAAGAACCTCTTAAAAGAAAGAACACCTACAGCCTCCACAGCAGGGCCAAACACTGCTTACAAACTATTCCCTAGCCGGACATGTGGGGCTCGGAGGAGTCTATCCTGTTCTGGGGTAGGACCATGATGAGTAGTAACAGAAAAGCCCAGGGACAGTAGTTTGGGAGGGCTTGGGGCTGGAAAACCTCTGGGAAGCCTCAGGTTAAGGGGAAAGTCAAGGTGGTTGGTGAGCGCTGAGTTAGGGTCAGATTTAGTACCTGGGAATGGGGTGAAGGGACCGAGAGCCCAGACAACACAGTGAAAAGCTGGGCACGAGGGTCGCTGTGCTTCACCTCTTGTGGGGACACTGGCAGTGCTCACATGTTCTGTAACTTCAGATGCTTGTGTGCAAGATGTTTCTCACACACACCTTTTATCAGGGTTGGGACATCTTTTTCCAGGTTATGTAACATGCTTCTTCAGTTCTCACTGCTGTGGTTAAATTATGCCTGCCTTTACTTGGCCAGCATACTTTGCTGAGTTTTGTCCACCTTTCCTATTTTAGTACTTTTTTTGAGATACTAGTGTACATAGAAAGTTGTCACTATTACCAGGACAGGGTTAAGTGGTAAAATCCTTTGCATTTAGTGAAAAATTAAAAATACCTCAGAATGAGAGTATTCAGTTGCTGCCAAATGTTGGGAAGCTTCCTAGGGCCTGACCCCTGGCCTTCCAGGAGGTGAGCCCTTTCCATTTGGGCAGGAGGGAGAGCTAGATGTTAGAATCACAAAGCTGTGAGGCCTTCCTGAGCCCGGAATCCAGCCTCCCTGGGAAGCATTTTGCTCCCTGACATGTGTGAACTAGGGGTGTGGGACCCTGGGCCACAGGGCCTCAGGGAGGTGGTGAACATCAAAGCTTTCGGAACTTTTAAAATGCTATGTGGCAGCTGAAGTGAGAACATTTTAACCTCTTCCTTGCTGTTGGTGAGAAATGATGTGTTAAATCCCACAGTCAGTAGCTACAAATTTGCCTGTGATCTCTTCAGATTTTCACATCTCTGTGGTAATTCTATAGGAGGCCTGGGCTGTTGTAAAACTGCTCTGTTCATCTGTGATAACACGGGTGGAGCCTGGAAACCTCATCTGGCCAATGCTGTGACCTCCTGCCCCCTAGCCCTCTGCCAGAGCCCCGGGAGCCTCACACTTCTGGGAGAGGTGTGAGCAGCAGACTCCACAGCTGGGCCAGCAGCCATCATCAGCCAAGCAGAAAGTGGAAAATTTTGTAGGAAGTTTTAGCTTTAAATGTGAAAAATGGTCACCTTTTTTGCTTGTTTGATGGTTCTCTTCTGATGCTCTGCCCATGTTCCCTGTCTAGTGGAAGGCAGAAAGTGGCCAGCTGCTCCGCAGGCTGGGAGGGGACGGTGTTGGCTCAGCTGCAGAAGTAGCCATGCATTACTTTTTTCCAAACTTGGCAAAACATCCCATGAGCCATCTGCATGTGCACTTCCACTTTGAGATGCCATTCGCGGCAGTAACCATCTAGATAGAGTGCAGATGGTTGGGATGAGTAAAGAGGGTAGTTTCAATACTGCTCCTTCCACTAGCACACCTACCTCTTGTTAATTGCTTCCTGCTTTAATGGAGTAATAATGCAACAAAAATCTAATGCCATGTGGGCACAGCTGAAGAACTGACAAAATTGTGTCCTCCACATATGTGCAGAATGCTGTTTTTATACTTGTTAGAAATGTGCATTTTTTTCTGTTTGAGTTTTACAGAAATTTAATTCTCTGTTTTGATTTTTGTATCTGTTTGGTGCAGGAAATAGACAATATGAGCCTGACCAGTGGAGAAGACACTCATCATCCGGGTAAGTCTGTCTCTGCCATCTTCAGAATAAATCAATTTTACCAAAGATTGACGTAAAAGTCTGTCTTTATAACATAAATCTTTCATATCAAGTGTCAGACTTTGGAAGCTTGTTTTCAAGGTAGGTTTGCTCCCTCCAGAAAAAGGATGGAGCAAACAGAAGCAGAGTCTGGCTGTGAACCCATGGAGCAGCCCTCAGAGCGAGGCAATGGAAGCAGCCCTGCCCCACCTCACCCACAGGGAGCCAGTGGCACCCGGACAGCCCAGTGAGGGGGAAGTGCCCTCTCTGTGGCTTCTCCCCCAGATCGCACGGAAAGCTGTTGGTGGCTTGTTTTCAGAGATTGTGCCTGATTGTGGCCCCAAACGGTCATGTTATATCTCCTTTCCAGTCTCTTTCTTTATGTCTGTGAGGAATGGTTGATAGTTTTTTAATGAGTTAGAATCTTACTATATCCTGATTTGTTTTCGACTTAACACTAGAGTGTGAGGTTGTTTCCCAGATCAGTATAGTATGTCTTTACAGACATGTTGTCTGATAGCTATATAATGCCGAGGGATTGCTTTGTAGTTACAAATTCTAACCAAAGGTAAAGTTTCCACCTGTATCTTCTCTTCATCCTCCGAGTGTTTGCACAGAGAAGAGGTGACAGCTTTTTTCTTGCCTTCCTGGTGGGAGATCTCTACCCAGGAATCCTGACAGTGTGTGACTCAAGGGTCTGTTTCTGCCCTGTTGTCCTTCTTTTATTGTTGCCAGGCTCTAGCTCAGAGTTTCTTAGAGCAGCGCGTGTGAAGGCAGGCCTGCGCTCTCAGCAATTTCCCGTCAGGCCTCAGGCAGGAAGCCTGTGGAGGCGGGCGGGGAGGAGGCGGTAGCTGAGAGTCGGGGAGCCCCTTGCATGCTGCCGCAGAAGAGTGTTGCGTTTGTTGCTCTGTTATCCGTGAGCACTGAAGGGCCCTTGTTTTAAAAGCATTTGAGACGAGTCCAAGTTCAGAGTAATCATTTCCATGGAAGACTTTTCACATAATTAAGAATTGAAAATTTAAGCTTCAAACTGTACTGAGCTCAGTGTCTGGGGTATTGATAATGAAAAGAAATCGACAGTAGGTGCCAGAAGGCAGGCCCTTCATTAGCAGCCATCTGCCTGAGCCTGGAGAGCTGGCTGTGATGACCGCGTTCCTTTGTAGTACTCTCAGAAACGCTCCCTCTCGTTCACAAGAAGGCGCGTCCTTCCACTTGCTGCTGTCTTTAAAAGCAGAGCAGCCCTAAATATGCTCACGGTCCAGTGTATGTACTCGCACCTTATGAATCACTCTAATGACAGCTCAAGTACACATGGCTCTTGGCTTTGTCTTACCTTAAAATTCCATCTAGTATTTACCAAAAAAGGGATACAGTCTCCAGATATTTTCATATGTTTATTTTTCTTACATTTGAAGTATTTTCACCATGTCCTGCAATTCCTTCTTAAGATCATTTGCATGTCTAACTACTGTTCATGCAGGTCTTATAAAGATCTTATTTCCCACTTTTAGAAATAGATTTTTTCATTTCACTTATGAATGTTTTCTGTCTAAATATTAACATCCTCTTCATTTCTGCTAATTTGAGACTAGTGCTGCTTCTAGCAGTTTCATTTTTATGTGACTTACTTGCATAGCTTTGAAATAAATTTCTTATCTCTTAAAAGCATAGATCTCCATGAAAATTGTTTTCCCTCTTCATAATATCTAAGTTCCAACTTGTCAATAAAATATTTTTGTTCACTTAGCAAGCTTAGGTAGGGCATTGAGTTGGTATAACCTTTATGACATTTGAAAAGCCACTGCAGTGAAGTTTTTATGATCTTGATATTGTATATAGGTTACCCCTGTAGTCAAGTCTTCTGATGAAATTTCCATATGTTAATTTAAAAATGAAAATAAAACAATATATTTTTACTCCTAATTAAACATAATTACACGTTTCTTTTTTTATTTGGAAGACTGCTCACCATCCAGTGTTTTGGGATCTTTGTTAAGAAAAAGAATATTGAATTTTGTCAAATGCTTTTTTCTGCATCTGTTGAAATGATCACATGATTTTTATCTTCATACTGTTAATGTGGTTTATCAGGTTTACTGCTCTGTGTTGAACCATCCTTGCACCCAGAGAAAAGTACCACTGATCATGGTGTATGAGCCTTGTAATGTGCTGTTGAATTTGTTTTGCTAGCATTTTGTGGAAGACTTTTGCATCAGTGTTCACCAGGGATATGGACCTTTGATTTCCTTATGGTGTCCTTGTGTGGTTTTGGTATCAGGTTAATGCTGGCCACATAAAATGAGTTTGGAAGTGTTCCTTCTCTTAAAGTCTTTTTTGGAACAGTTTGAGGGGTGTTAGCATTAATTCTTCTCTAAGTGTTTGCTAGAATTCCCTAGTGAGACTGGTCCTGGGCTTTTGTTTATTGACAGGTTTTCAATTACCAATTCAATTTGCTTTCTCATTGGTTTGTCTGTACAGATTCTCTCTTTCCTCATTATTCAGTCCTGGAAGGGTACATGAATCTAGGATACCATCTCTTCTGGGTCATCCTGTTCTGGCCTGTGATCACTCACAGTGGTCACTTACCCTGTATATTTATGTAGAGCTGTGGTGTTCTGTGGTTTGTAGCTCTATTTATTTATGTCATCTCTCTCTTTCTCTTGGTTAGTCTAGCTAAAGGTTTGCCAGTTTTGTTTATCTTTTTAAAACCCAAGTTTTAAAATCTTTTTTACTATTATCTGTGCTCTAGTCTTTATTATTTCCTTTCTTCTGCTAGCTTTGGGCTTAGTTTGTTCTTGTTTAGTTCTTTGAGGTGTTATCTATTAAGTTATCTATTTGAGATGTTTCTTTTTTCCCTAATGTAGGTGCTAATTGCTCTAAACTTCGCTCTTAGAACCGCTTTCGTGGCATCCCCTAAGTACTTGTATGTGTGGTCCTGTCTCTGTCTGTCTCAAGATGCCCTCTGGTTTCCTTTTTGGTTCTTTGTCGACCCATTGGTTGATCAGTAGTGGTTGTTTAATTTCCGTATTTGTGAATTTTCTAATTTTCTTCTTAATGATTTGTAGTTTCATATCGTTGTGATCAGAAAATAGACTTGATATAATCTAATTCTTCTGAAATATATTAAGACTCATTTTGTGGCATAACATGGTCTGTCCTGGAGAATATTTGTGTACACTTGAGAAGAATGTTTATTCTGCTGCTGTTGGGTAGAACGTTCCCTCTGTCTGAAGTGTTGTTTAAGTCCATGTCTCTTTACTGATTTGCTGTTTGGATGATCTACCCATTGCTGGAAATGAGTTACTGATGTCCCCTACTATTATTATATTGCTGTCTGTTTCTCCCTTAAGTTCAGTTAATATTTTATTTACATATTTACAAAATTTAACATCCTTTCATGATAAAAATTCTCAACAAATGAGATACAGAAATAATGTACCTCAGCATAATAAAGGCCATATAGGACAAGCCCACACTTAACATCTACAGAATGGTGAAAGGTTGAAAGCTTTCCTTCTAACTAAGATCAGGAACAAGACACAGGTGTCCACTCTTATCACTTATATTCAACATAGTATGGGAATTTTAGCCAGAGAAATTAGGCAAGAAAAGAAATAAAAGGCATCCAAATTGGAAAGGAGAAAGTAAAGTCTGTTTACAGATGATAAATCTCATATATAGAAAGTCCTAAAAACTGTTAGAATTAATACATAAGTTCAGTAAAGTTGCAAGACACAAAGTCAACATAGAAAAACCAGTTCATTTCTATATATTAACAACTGACTATACAAAAAAAAGAAATTAGGAAAATCCTGTTTATAATAGCATTAAAAGGAACATAATACTTAGAAATTAAACTTAACCAAGGAGGTGAAAGATCTGTATGCTGAAAACTATATATAAACATGATTAAAGAAATTAAAGATGATAAATAAATGGAAAGATATCCCATGTTCATCAGTTGGAATAATTAATATTGTTAAAGTGGCCATATAACCCAAAGTGATTGACAGACTCAGTGCAACCAATCAAAATTCCAATGGCAGTTTTCACAGAAATAGAAGAAACAGTCTTGAAATTTCTCTGAAAGCACAAAATACCTCAAATAGGCAAAGCAATCTTGAGAAGGAAGAACAAAGCAGGAGACTTCACAGTTCCCGATTTCAAATTATATTACAAAGCTAAAGTGATCAAAACAATATGGTATTGGCATAAACATAGACTCAGATCAGTGGAACAGAACAGAAAGCCCAGAAATAAAACCCCTAGACTTGGTGTAACACACTGTTCAGTGTGCTCACACCCTGATCCAGGAGCTTGGGCAGCCACAGCTTGTCTCTGTTCCAGTGTGTCCAGGGCCTCAGCCAGAAGAGATGAAGGCATTCAAAGGCTTGTTCACCCAAAGGTCCAGCTGAGCTGGCCTCCGTTTCTCCCTACTGGCCCGTGAGGGCTAGTGTGCACTTTTTCCCAAGAGGTAAAGAACCAGGCAGAAGCCATGTCACTTTTTTGAACGTAGCCTCATAAGTCACATGTCAGCTTTTCTGCCATATTCTGTTCATTGAGGCGGCCAAAAAGGGGCCTGTCCAAATTAGCGTGGAGATGAAGCAGACTTTCCTCCTGATGGTGGGGAGGAGTGAGGTTCTGGCAGAACATAGGAGGCCAGAAATATTGCTGTGGCCATATTTGGCAGATACATTCTCCTGTGCAGACCATTTTCTTTCTCCTTAAAAACAACTAACTTTAAATCTCATGTCATTCAGCCCTGCCACCTGCCCTCCTGTTCTTCAGACTCAGCTCCCGGCCCAACATGGCTCCTGTGACGACCCGTGGCGACCTCAGCAGCCTGTAGATGGGCTTCCCATTCTTGACACCAGCTCCTTGGCCTCCCGTCCCAATAAGCTTGTCTTCCACATCAGCCGCCTCATTCCCAGTAGTTCAGCTCTTCCATATCTTCAGTTTCAAACACTTTTTCTCCAGCCACATGGCTCACTGCCCCTAGAATCTGAGCGATCCTTTGGTCAGATTAGGACCCCATCCGCCTGTCCAACCTCCCTTTCCTGGTCCTCACATTGCTTCTTACCTGTCCTCTCCTACTTGTTTATCTACTGTGATCAGTAATCCAAGTCACTTTCTTGTATACATGCTTGATAGCTTTGCCTCTCTCATTTTACCATATTTATGTGGTAAAACCACAAACCAGGTTAAATCCATCCTCTGCATTTGGGATGTGGCCAGAGAGTAATCCACAGTCATCCTACTGGTCCCAACTTAAATTCATGTTCACTGACCTCAGTGAACTCTCAGTACTGCCCAGAGCTCATTCTCCATTCTCTCCCACTATCCAGGTGGTTCACATTCCCCTCTCTGCTAGCCTTCAACACTTCCTTCCCATCCCCAGTCAGAGACAACAATTTTGTTTTCTGTGCATTCCCATGGCCACATTTATAACCAAATACCAGAAGAAATAGACAAATTCATAATAACAGAGGTAATAACCTACTTTCTTGCCTACTCATGGGTGAACTGACCATGTTCCTAGCTAATGGCAGTCTCTTCATCTGCTAACCAAAGTCCCTGCACCGTCCCTCCAGAACCCCTCCACAATCAGCCATCAGCCAGGTCCTTCCCGCGCTTATTCCTCCCACCTCATGAGAACCTCTGTAGCCTCCTCCTCTCTCCATCAGTCACATCGTTTGCTTCCTTTACAGAGAAATAATTTTGAACCAAGAATTCTATAGTCAGCCAAATTAGCATCTAGCTAAGAGGAAAAGTTAAAATGTTGTCAGAAATTAGCACATTTTGACCCACAGTACCTTTACTAAAGAAAATGATTGTGCTCAGCCAAAGGAGCATTAAAATAACAGCAGTGTGTGGGGTGTAAGAGATAGTGCTGGACAAAGAAATCAGTAAAGTGCATCATTATTGCTGGTATGCAATTAACTATAAAAATAAATATGCAAACAAACCAGCAAAAAAAAAAACCCTCAAGATTAAAATCCCACATCATTACAAGGAAAGTGGTGTGTTTGAAAAATAAGCTAAAAAGAGTGCGAAAGGCAGACTACATTTCTTATTTTTTTTTTGAGAAAGATTTTCATTTGAGAGGGAATAGGTTTTGAATAAATCCAAATATGTTTAGAAAAATGTAAGTATATGCAGGTTTGCAAAATATAGGGGTCTACACTGGAAGGACATAGATAATTCGTAGCTGCTAAGTTGGTGATAGATACACAAATACATACATATAGGTAGGTGATAGGTAGGTAGACAGAGGAAGGCCTACATACCTTTTATGTACCTGGTGTCATAAATCAGAATTATAAATCAAATACAAGGAGAAATAGACTCAGTAACAGGGAGTATACTTGACATATATCACTCTCAGAAATGAACAGATGAACTAGACCAACAGTAACATACACTGAATAAGTCCATTAACAAGTTTGTTCTAATATAAATGTACAGAATAATGTATACCCTTTTATCCATATTATTTTCAAATACATAGGGATAGCTCAAAAATCTAACCATGTACTAGACTCCAAAGTAAATCTCAACCAATTCAGTGAAAAGCACAAACCGCACAAGCCCTATTTTCTGTCCACAAGAAAATAACTTGAGAAATCAACAACAGAAAGATAAAAAACAAAAGTCTTTTCACTTGGAAATCAGTCCACTATTCTAAACATTAGAGAAAGTCAAAATCAAAATTACTTTTAGAAATAATAATAAAGATTTTGTAAAGAGTGTGATGTCAGGGCTGAAGTACCAGGAATCCATCTCCACCTGGACAACACTTGAATTGGCAGAAACTGTCCAAAGGAGCTGTTTTGGAACTGTGGAGTCTGTTTGAAGGCCTGCAGCTTCCAGGAGAAGGCTTGGCTGGAAAGTCATGGTTGGTTCCCATCATTTGTGTTTGCCCACCCCCCAGCCCATGGCAGACAGCCGCGCCTGTGTTCCTGGTGCAGCTTGCTGGAGCCAGGATGGTCAGGGAGAACCTTGTTATCCGGAGTCAGGCCTCTGTGTGGTGACTGCTGTTTTGCTCACTGGAGTGCCTGCCACCATTGTTTCAATCCCCAGTAGTTGAAGTGGCTTCCAGAGCATTTACTGGAGCAGCACCAATGGTGTTTTTTTCTTTTTTTTCCCTTTTTGATCCTTTGGGAACCAGACATCTAAGGAGTAGGACACTGAAAATGAGCCACACATGTAGGGGAATTTGGGAAACTACTGCACATGTTCAGGGAACGACAGGCTCAGAAAAGACATGAGAAGACCTCAAGCTTCCCCTCAAGTTGGTCCCCAGCACAGAGACACAGTAACAACAAATGCTAGAAGACAGGGAGAATCTGATTTCCAGAGTCTCAGCCATCTAAGATCCAAATGTCCAGTTGTCAGCAAAATAACAACAGGGTAGTCAAAGAAATAGGAAAGCATGGCCCATTCAGTGCACAAAACAAATAGAAAAAAACTGTTCCTGAGGAAGCCCAGATGTTACACTTACTAGGTAGGACTTTAAGGAGACCATCTTAAAGATGCTCAAAGAGGACACAAAGTGAGGCTATTAAGAGATATAAAAGAAATAAGGGTTATAAAAGAGAGCTTAAAAGTACAGTAGCTGAGATGAAGAATTCTCTAACGGGGTTCAGAGGCAGGTTCAAGAAAGAATCAATCGCCTTGAACATAGAAGAACTGACATCATTGAGCCTGAGAGCGAACAAATGGAGAGTGAGGAGGGCACGAGAGGAGAGCTGCAGGGACCCGGAGGGCACTAGAGGAGAGCCGCAGGGACCCGCAGGGCAC